TGGCTAACAACTGGTCAATCATAAGTCATCAGCCAATGAGCATACTACGGATAATCATTCATTTTGTCAGAGAGCAAGACAAAGATTTAAAAAGGAATTAACTAAATTAATTACACTAGTAAACTAAACTAAAGCTGTCCATCTGGTGTCTTTAAGACAGAATGCAGGTTTGAGACACTTTTATATTAGCTTTATTTTTCCAACCTAGAACCTACGTCCATGTTTTAGGCTGTGTTTTGGAGCATAATGTTGCAGCTAGGTCAGTAATAGTATTTGGGCTGATTAAAGCCATTGTACTGAACCTCGTTAGTGGTATTGTTTCTTTGTAGGATGTTTTTTGCAATTATCTAACAAATAACACACACTGTTGTGATGGTTAACTGTACTTAAAAGTCAAGACAGTACTCCTGTTTTTGTGAGTGAAATCACATTATTTTATTAATCTGTTACTTATGACTGATGAGCACATGTATCCGTATATACAGTTTATGGATGTAGTTTGCTAACCTTGCATTAAATGATAACTTCAGGCTCAAATTCCTTATCAAAAGAAAAATACAAGATGGCTGCTAGCTAAATCTTCCGTTTGCAAGCTCACAAACAGGGTGCAACATTAGCTGCATCCATCTTTTACATACAGTCAATGGCTGCAGTTTATCTCTATAGGAATTTTTTGAGGGCTCTACAACTCTGTCCTAATGAACCATCAAAGAAACCACCAAACAGCCTACTGGGATTCACTGTGATTAAAGTGAGCAGGATTGCAGAACTAATGAGTAATGGAAAGACAACGGTCAATGTAATTTTGCATACTGACAAAAACAGGAGAAAAGCTTCACAAGGGGCAGAAAACACAGTGTCCTCACACGATGATTACTTCAGCATGGATTTGATTTCATTCACAAATAAAAAGGAGAAACAGCTGCAGACAGAATGAAATCAGCAAGCCGAGCACAACGGGCTCAGATCTAAAGCCCAGCGCAATCAATCAAAGCGTGTCACAGACATCTGTGTTTTATGAGTCTGAGTCTCAACAATAAGAAAAAGAAGAAAGTCGGGTATAAAATTAGAGCGAATCCCAACACTTCACTGGCGTTTCTGCCTTTGACTTTGCTAAATTTCGCACACAGCAAGTGTGGATCTTGTGGATCTTCCTCAACAACACTAAACCAAAAACTTTCGCGGATTTGAACAAACTTGGTCAGGGAGATTGATAACGGAGGCGGCGACGAGGGCATGTTGGCCAGGTGCGGCACATCATCGCTCAGGTTAAAAAGGATTCAAGACAACAAAAGCTCTGTGCATGGTGGCCCTCAGCCCAGCGGCTGGCAGGTGACATTTCTGCCAGCTTGGATGCACTCCACTCAGTGACATTAGGACACACACACACACACACACACACACACTTATCTAACTCTCAATGCAAGCCTGAACAGACACAAGTGCATCTGTCCAAGCATGCACACGCATACTTTAACACAAAACAAACGACAAACTGGAAGGAACAACTGCAATGCAATTTGTCTTAGGCCTCTTCCACACAATCAGGTCCCCCAGCACTGTCATTAATGCTGATGTAAAATTCAGCTGCCACCTGCTGAACAGTTCGTTGCTATTAATAGCTCCTATTGCTTCATGATGCATGTAACTTATATAACAAGTCCACACAGTAAACAATATGCACACTAAAGAGAGTCAGTGCTTGACTAAATGACATTCTTAAGAGGAATCAGACATGAAAAAAACAGCTTTAGAGTTAAAATATCACTTTAGACAACAAACGTAGTATGATAGTAGATAACAGATATTCATTAAAGACAAAAATCATTTGTTTATCTAGGAAATTGGTTCAGAAGCATGTGGATGATTGCACGGGGGTAATTTTGAACAGCTGGATAGGAACGTCAAATATCATCATTTAAATTCCTTGAAAGGTTTTGAGGGGAAAGAAAAAGAAACTCTGGATGTTAAACACAAGTAAAACAAACACACTCATGTTTCTTCTCACCTTCTCCTAGGCTATATCGCAGGCGGGCGTCCCATGCCTGCAGGGCCTCCCTGCTGTCAAAGCCCAGCAAAACAGCCTGATTCAGGCAGAGGATGGTCAGAGTAAAAGCCACACCCTCATACCACTGTCCAGCTTCCAAGCCGCAGATCTCCTCCAAGGTGATGCTCGCCTTCTCCTTGTTGCCGAGAACCTTCTCTGATTTGTCTTTAAAAACCAGCAACACGAGGCAGTCTGCAGGACAGACAATGAGCAGGAGACGAAACAAAGACAGAAGAACACAGTCTGCATTAAAACATTATTAAATTCTACTCTTTTTTTTTTTAAGATGTAACAGTTTATTAAAAAAAATAAGTAAAGTCAATACTGGAATCCCCAAATGACATTGACAGTTACTAACAGGATGTATTTTGACCCACAGTAGCTACTGTAGTGTCCTCTGTTTGTTGCCACCTTTCAAACAATCAGTGTCAACTGACAAAACAACACTGTGTGGGTCCGTGTATCATCCCTCTCCTTCACACACACTCGCATAACTGAGGCATGAGCACAGACAGCTGGGATAACATGACATCAAAGATTTGAAGAGCAGCAGCACTCAGCCTCACTCCAACCTGTGGAGCATGTTGAGCTGTGCAGCGCAACATACCCAAGAAACCTTTCTGTGGTAAAACTGAATGCAGTACAAATACAAGTCCACGCTAAATCCACTCACTTTTCCATAAAATATTTGAAAATGTGTGCAAATATAATGACTACTAGATTTTATTTCCGCAGAGCCGAAGCCTCACAGGTAAGCATGACTGTTCACATGGTACATCTAAAATACAGCGAGTCTCTGGCTCAGACTTTAGCACATTAGCTTTGAAGATGGGATCAAATAAGAACCACAGGTTTGAAGCTTGTGTGATGTTGTTTTAGAAATAATCTGAAAGCCTGCTGTTGTACAGCAGAAGCAGTACACATGGTAAAAATAAATAATTTATAAATGTAATTGTGTAAAAAGAAAAAGTAAACTGTGCAGAAAAGCTTTCAAGAGTGAGTTTACAGCATGGGGAAAAAGACAGTGTGTGGATTAAAAGCACCTTTGGCATCAGTTTTCCCGTTTTTTTAAAACACAATCCCACCGTTAAACGTTTGCAAAGAGTCACTAAAAAGCTTTTAATGAAATTCTTTTAGCTTGTGCTAATGTTTCAGCTCTTTTTCAGAACCATTGTGTAATATAGGTTTTACTAGAGGTGGGCAAGTTGATCCAAGTGTGGATAGTATCAATATCATCTCTGGTATTGGTGTCAGATTGATACTAGCTCAATAATAGGCTCCATACTTTGTTTCTATCCACTAAGTTCAGTATGTAGCCTGCTGAACTGTGTTAAATAAATTATTATTATTTTGGAAACGAAAAAAAATATACATATGTCAAAAATCCACTATTAAAAACGTCTTGACTTTTTTGTGTTGACAGTCACGTCTATTTTATTTATACCCCATAACACATTTAAACAACTGAAGTTTCCCCAAAGTGGCACATTTACATTACAGGCAAAATAGAAGAAAAAAAATGTTTATCTGCACGAAACTGCACGAAAACCTAATAATTGTATTTTGCTCTGGTAATTACTTATTGGGAAAAGTTAAAATCATTGATTTAGTGTTCAGAATTTACAAATTAACAACAATTCACCAAATCTCCCCTAGATAAAATGCCTTTATAGGTTAGGTTTTAAAGTATCGGCAACACTGGTCCCGTATTTACTTGGTATCGAATCTACAACACAAGTTGCAGTATCACCCCACACACACACACGTATTTTAATACCAACTGTGGTTTGCACACATGTTGATTTTGAAATTCAAATGTATTGAATTTCTCATGCAAAACTGTCACACAGCAGCCACAGGTTTCAACCTTGCTAGTAAGCCTTATTTTAAAGGTTTTAGGTCTTTTTGTCCCTCCTTGGACGCCATAGCCTCCTGGGTCAAAGCTGTGTATTTGAACACAAACGCAGGCCCTTTATTTTAAAGGTTTTAGGTCTTTTTGTCCCTCCTTGGACGCCATAGCCTCCTGGGTCAAAGCTGTGTATTTGAACACAAACGCAGGCCCTTTGAAGCCGAGGCTTGTTGAGCTCTCATGCAACAGAAAACACAAGCAGTGCAACACCAGCTCACTGTCCTCCTCCAGCTTGTCGCGGCAGATTTGTGTAGCCGCTGTCAGATTTAATTTCAAAACAACAATGCGAGCGAGAAATGCTAAAAACAAAATTAGCTCGTTTTTAAGGTTTTTTTTTTTTACCTGCTACAGGCGACGGTTTGCGGAGCACGAGCCACCTAGTTTTCCACTGTGAAACAAAAGAAAAGTTTTTGGGGGTTTTTAAAGCACTGGTCAAAGTGTGCATAGGAGATATCCGCATATTAAGACAAAGTAAAAGCAACCTTTTTCCCGTCTCTGAGTCTGGCGTATCCCTCCACGACAACAGAATCCGTCATCTTCAGTCATGGTTCCTGACAGCTGCAGAGTCGCTGCCTGAATGAGGGGTCACTTTCAAAATAGCTGCGCTCTCCTCTAGCGGGGCGCAAACTCGCCCCCCAGCAAGGAAGGCACATGGAAAATGGCATGACCAGTATCTGTCTGTCTGTCTGCCTGTGTGTCCGTCTGCCGGCCATGCTGCTGCTGCCACCTGGGCTGGTACAGTGAGACTCTCCCGCGTGTTTAACATCCCACACGCCACTCTAACAGTAAAACCGAGCACGTTAATACATCAAACTAGACATATACACTCGCCGGACAATTTATTAGGTACACCTTTTCAACAGCTCGTTAATCAACCAATCACAGGGCAGCAATCATCTTTAAGATTCACGGAGAATAAAACCAAACATCCTTTTTAACCTTGTTGATGAGATTAGAGGAAGGAAACAGTAACTTGAATAGCATAAAAGAACATTGTGATCCTGGGAGCAAATGGGCTACAGCAGCAGAAGACCACACTGGGAGGAAACTGAGGCTATAATTGTCATGGGCTCACCAACATTGGACAACAGAAGATTGAAAAAATGATCCAGCGGGAAAACATCACCATGTCAATGATCAGGTGACATGCTCACTGTACTCGCATGTCACCTGATCTCAATCCAGCAGTGCACCTTTGAGGAGATGCATGTGGAGTAAATGTGTAGTGCTATCATATCAGTATGGATCAATATGTGTACTAATCTTCTAATAAAGTGGCCATTGAATGTAGCACCACCCTTTTGTGTTCATGTGGGGTCAAAATGTTAACGAGTTAAACTAAGCAGTTGCCAGGATTTGTGGGTTGTTTTTTGTTCGTTTGTTTGTCTGTTTTTGTCTCACTGTGCTCTGTTTTTGTCTTTTAATTTATTCCACCCAACCGGTTGTAGCAGACTGCTGCCCCTTCCTGAGCCTGGAGGTTTCTTCCTGTTAAAAGAGAGTTCTTCCTTCCCACCATCACAAAGTGGTTGCTTTGTCACAAAGCAACCACTTTGTGATGGATCGTTGGAGTTTTCTTCAAAATACTGTAGGTCCTTAACAGTATAAAGCACTTTGAGGTGTTGCTGTGTTTTGGCACTATATAAATAAATCTGAGTCTGAATTGCATCAAATGGAAGTACACTGGGCTGAAGGTTAAGTCAATGGAAAGCAACCAGAAAAAAACACAAAACCACTGGAAAAAGGTTTGACAATTAAACAAGTTATAAGGATTTTAACTGTGGACATATCACCAGCCTGTGTAAATGTATATTAGTAGATGTGACCAAAAAATGGACAAAACCTTTGCACAGTAAAAGAGGCAGGAGGCACTGATTCACCGTGTGAAGGGGTACTCATTGATACACATATACTTCATTTACTCTAGCCCACTTATCAGCTGATGAGTTTGCAAAAACGCAAAGTTTCCTTTTGATTGTTGGCCACACATCTGCAGTGGGAGCAGCAAGAGCAAAAACAGGAAGACAGCTGTGTATTCTGGACGAGTGGTAACATGGAGACTTCAGTCCTAATATTCATATTTTTCTGTTAATTATTATTTCAGCCAATAATGTTCAGTGTACCTCTGTGGCATTCTGCTGATTAGTGTATACCTGGTAACTTGGTTGCATCGAGGTGAGATCGCACTCTCACACGCGAACTGCTCTGCAGTTTGTTTGGTCCACCTCCTCTGAAAGGCCTTGGTATAGTTGTTTTAGTCTGCACACCTGTGCAAAAGAACCACACCAAGGGAGGAAAGCAATCTGAAGTTCAATTTAAATGGATTAAACACCCAAACACCATGAAGGTGTATTTAGAATTTCCAGAAAAAAAGGTCACCCACACCCCGAGATAATTTGTATCCGTGCACTTCATTGATTTGAGAACCAAAGCAGGGCAGTCTAACTTCAGGGGTGTGTTTGGTGCCACCCAAGGTCTCCCAGACCCTGGAGCTAATCACATACACTCAGTGTCTCTGGACCTATTAAGGTCATTTTAAGCTTTTAATGCCCCTTTATTATCTTTACATTCAGTTGTTCTTGGAGCTACTTTCTGTATTTGGCTTCATAGTTTTAGGTATCTGGAAAGTTTATCCACAAAACAACCTTAAAACTGAACTATGCATATTAAAAGTACCACATCAAGTCTATACAGTCTCTTTATGTAATTGTACATATATCAGCAATAAATATATATTGTTTTTTACCCAGTTTCTGTTATTTTCTTAGAGTTGTTTCACTGTTTCAAAGCTAATGTGCTTAACTAGTACATTAAAAGGACTCAAGACCTTGAGATGAGCTATTTTTAATCCATCTATTATTTCTAAAGCCCATTTATATACTTAATTTTTTTTTTAAAAAACTAAAGAGAGAAATATCTGATGAATGAACTGAACAACAATACATATCAAATCTCAGAAAATCCAGCCTCATGATAACAGAGAAAAGTCCACTTGGAGAAAAACATCACAGTATTCAGCTTGTAAGTGAACCTTGAGACTGGCTTGTTTTAATTACATTCACAACAAATCACAGCTCTTTAACAAAGACACTCAAAGTTTGATGTCACTGAAAGTCATTGAAGGTTTATTCAGTCTCAAAATATTTCACAGTTAAACAAATAACCTATAAACTTCCAGAAGCTTTACAATAATAAAAAAAATTGTAAAAAGTTCATATATAATATCTTTAAACATCTCATGCACAAAAGGTTATTTCCAGGTAATGTCGTTTGGTGAAGGCTTGGGTTTGCGTTTGATCACTGAATCGATCCAGTCTATGTAATTCACTACTTTTGTGTAAACTCCGGGTTTATTGGAGCGGCCGCAGCCCTCCCCCCAGCTGACGATCCCGTACAAGAAGCTGACGTCATTCCTCCCACAAGCCAGCGGGCCCCCGGAGTCGCCCTGAGGAAACGCACAAGTGGATGTACACATGAATATACACGCAGATCACAGTGAAGGCACACAAACGGCTGAGTCACACACTCAAAAATGAATATATTCCTCAAAATTGCTCTCTACCTATGAGCTAAACAGTCAGTTGTCTCCTTTCATTTAACAAGAAGAAGTTCAAATATTTTACACAGCAGGATGAGGGGGTAATGTCACACCACAGACATCTCTGAATATCACTGAGACCCTCGTTGCCTTCCCCCAACATTTCACTCAGGGGAATCCCTCCTGCCATCTTAAGTGCTGTTCCATTACTGTGAAACCTCGAGCCTGGCCTCTGATGTCATCCCCAACAGAGCCAAGGCGGGAGGTTAAGTACTGTACCGTCCAAGACACAGTGAAATAAAGACATTTGTTTTCTTCTTTCTTAAATTCACGTGTATTTAAGTTTGTATAGTCATGCATTAAATGAGATGTTGAAAAGGTAACGTTGATTTTTTTTTTAAACTCTAAAATCTGTCATTGTAAAATAGATTTTTGGTTGAAATGTTGTGATCTTCATGAAGCAAAGTAGTTCATATCTCCAACATCCAGCAGCTTCATATAATTGCAATGACCTGCAGTGGGATCACATGACTATGCATCAAAGTTTGTTTGATGCAGTGTGTAAGAGTGTAGTTAGAAGTAGTATGGACGCAGAGATCCAAGAGGTGCGTACGGTACTGGTCTTTATGTCAAATTATTTTTACACTGGGAAAGAGTAAGCTAGAGTAAGGTGTTTAATATAAAACACCAATAATGAACACAATATAACTCTTAATTAAAATACTGTTAAATAATTAAAGAAAAAAACTAACAAAAATATACCATAAAATAAAAAAAATGTAAAAAGTATGCTCAGCTTTTTGGTTCTGGCTGAGAGTAAAATAAGTGAAGCAGAATCTGAAATGAAAAAAATATGTAATGACAGAAAAGTCCTATTGATATTCTTTATAAATAACTTGATAATAAGCCATAATATTGTCACTATTGCGCTCAATCGCCCACTTTCCCAAGTGAATTTCCCACCCTGATAAGGATAAGCGGAAGAGAATGGATGGATGGATCTACTCCACTGATGTTTCCGAAAAGCCTTATATAGAGTTTTAAGCTTTTAACCAAGCCAACCAGCTATAAGGTGAATCATGACTATAAAGGAAAAGATTCAGATAAAAAATTAAAGGAAAATTTAAAAAAATGATTAGTTAAAACAGTGAAGGAACTACTCATCCCATAATGTTTTGCAATTCATCGAATTTACAGCAAACGACTTCTAACCTTCTTCTAACCTTCCTTTCTTCACGACATTGTAAATAAAACTTGTTTCCCTAAAAACAAAGTTGTTATCATATAGACCTGTGGTTTCTTGTGACACATATCATCATTTCACAATGTCGCAGCAGCTCTACTATGTATAGTTATAGTATTATGGCTCATAATCAGAACGTGACTATGAGTTTTATTTCCAGGACCTCACTGCTGAGCTCTACAGTGCTGGTGAATCTGGTGTCTCAACTGCAAATATAACACTGAGCCAGGAGCTAATTTAAAATTAAAAAAGACGTTTCTATCATGGGACTCTGTTTTAAGACACCAGCACTTCCTTGGCAGAATTACATTAAAACATGACAGTCCTCAAAATGCTTTCCTACCTGGCACGCATCAACGCAGCCGTTAATCCCTGCACAAATCATGTCACTGGTGACATGGTTGCCATACACTTCTGGCTTCTTGCAATTATCATGAGGAGTCAGTCTTACTCCAGCCTCCTGCAGAGTGGAGTATCCCATTCCCTCTGTCAAATAAAACACAAATGAGTCATCGTGTTAGATAAAAGCCCAGTAACACCGAGCTGTCACCCCATATTTTTTTCCCGGTCCTTATGCTAAGCTAAGCTAGGCTAATCGTCTCCCGGCTGTGACAGATTTAGCCCTCAAGATTAAAGCAAATTACTATTTTCCAAAGTGACAAAATGTTTCTTTTATGTGCGTTAAAAATAAATCTGAAACTTTTCTCAAAGACACATAGCAGCGCAAGCAATTTTGGCCCCACCGTCACGGTTTAAGCGTGTAAACAAATAAATCATTCACTGGAGGTGCACGACAAATGTGCTCCCTGTGATCAATGCACGAATGTAAATAGTTGTCATCGTAACAAAACGGAAATGACACAGTTCTGCCATGACCTCCTCATTACTCACTCTCTTGTGTATGTCCCCAGCCACTAATGGTGCAGCAGTAGTAATCGGGGAACATCATGCTTTTGTCTGGGAGACAGATGGGCCTGATGAACGGGGTTTTCTTCACACATCGCCCGTCCTGCTTCTTCAGTTTGATTAGAACTGCCAAACAGAAATGAAATGTTATAAAACCGGCAAAGAAATGAAGCAAAGGTATGAAGCAAGTGGCTGACTTCGCCTCGGGAAAATGCCACACCCAACTGTCAATATGCATATATGTGTGCATCTGTGTTTGTGCGTGTTTTTATTGCGGGGGTGCAGAGGGACACAGCTGTTCAGTGAAGCACAGCTGTGCATACAGACTGGGTTCTTAAGTGGGTTTGTGTGTTTCTGAACAGGGACAAGAGGTCTTCCAGTTTATGTGAGTCACTGGCATATGTGTGTGCGTGTGTGTGTGTATGCATTAAATAATTACCAATGTCATGCAGTGTTGGGTTAAACACTGAGAAGTGCCTTGGAAAGACGTAGTCCTCCACTCCAAATGTCCTGGTGTTGGGACCGGTGGTATTAAAGCTATGCTGGCCCAGGACCACACGGATTTGAGATTTCAGGGGGCTGAAGAAAGACATTCTTAATTAATTCATTAGTATACCAAAGTCCACACTCATAAAGCTCATCAAGTCAAAATAAACTTGAGGTAACTGGAGTACTTCACCTTGTTTTTCGTGAAATCTGGTGGGAAAATTAGAGAACCCAAAATACCGTCACAAAACATTTGTTTGAGCTTTTAGCAGCACAGTCAATCACATTTGGCCTTTAAGGGGGTGAAAAAGGAAGCCAATGCAGAACTTCCAAATGCTGCAATTAAACAGGTGTTTTTCCTGCCATTTGGAAAGTAGTCGATGAGTATTTGCATACGAGTTCGAGTATTAAGTGCAAACTATGGACGAACGCATGAATTTGCTAGCAAACAAAACAATACCAAAAGTTAAAGTTATGCATTATTAAAGAGAATATAGCTTCCAGGTCTAAAAGGTGAAGCAAATGCAGACGTGCCTTAAACCAGCCCTTGCTTGGCATTATGCTTACATTGCTTGAGAGTTGCCTGCCCTTTTGGATGTGATATAACTGCGTGTCACTCAGGAAAACTGCATTTTGCAACCACTTGGTGAGTGGATGTCAGTGGAGACTGCTAGCCCTCATTAGATAAACTCAGTTGCAAAGACGATGCTGTATCAAAAAACGTGTTGGCTGCAAGCAGATTCTTTGCAGTTTGCATGAAAGACAGCATTTTGTATAATTGCTAACTGCTAGCAAAGCGGTACTTATACTTGGAGAAAGTGCAACGCAAACCAGAAACAGTCTCCGTTTCTGGCATCGCACTTTGTAAAATCTTACTGCTGTTTGCAAAGTAGTTGGAAAGTGTTTGCAGACAAGTTGAAAACACAACCAAAGTAATAACAAAGAGGTTTTCACTAATTAATTCACATTTTATGCTGGTGACTGGCAGTTGCTAAGGATTCAGTGACTGGTCTCTAGCCCTGTGTGTCTGGGGCTTTAGCCATTACTTTTCCAGGAGCGGTATATAGCTACAGGATGCTAACCAAGCTTACCAACCAATCATTAGCTGATAATTTAGAACAGCGTCCTATCATCCAAATGTGGTCACTCAAGATGGGAAAAAGACCATTCTTATCATGATTGTTACACCTGTAGGAACCATAGTAGCAACAATAGACAGGAAGAGAACAGTGACACACAAAGGGAGTCAGACTAGTTGACCGATCTTTTAGCCATGTGGTATGCATTCTTACCACTGCGTCACTTAGGCTAAAAATCAGTTTAAATTTTTTTTACACTACTTTAAAGTCTAATAATTAAAATCTAATGATTTTAATGTCACTTGTGCTGTAAAAAAATCCACTTAATTCTGTAATTTTCCTTCCTAAAGCACCATGCTGGCTATAAGATAGTTAAACCCCTGTGGTGTTGATAATGCTATTTTATATTGTGAATTTTAATTAATACTTTCTAATAAGAAATCCAATCATGCCCCAACTGTACTAAAACACAGTTGTAGCAGTAGACATGGGGCTTAAAAAGAAAGCCTTGCAGATACCATATATTGTATTTTACTACATGCACTCTGCTGTGTAGGTCCAGTGCAACATTCAGTTGCTTTAGCTAAAGATTTGAACTTGTGGATGTCAGTAAACAGTAAATCTGTTTTACTGACATCAGAGGAAGGTGTTAACATTTGCATGTAAACATTACAACATGCATATTTAGACACGTTTGTTATATAATATAGAGAGAATATATTACTGTTTAAAATTCAAGAAATGTGACTTTTTTTTGTCAAGCTTCCTTTAGTCTTTCATAGACTGACTCAAAAGGGGATACAATTTCTTAAAAGACTCACACTTTCCAAGGTTAAGAGATAACACTGTGCAGAGGGGTCAAAATGGCTGGAAAAACTCATAGCGTTGCCTTTTTTCCACTAATGTGTGTAACATCCTCTGCAGCGGTAGAATTCAATACATACTTGCTGAAGAAGCAGTGGGCCGCAGACACGACCCAGCAAGAGGAGATGAGAGTGCCGCCGCAGAAGTCTGACTGTCCGATGTAAATGGCTGCCATCCATGGATGACTACCTTCCAGAGACGAATTTCCACCCATTATCCTCCCTCTGGCTGTCGATAACCTCTTCTTGTGCTTTGTCCCGCATAAGGGTTTTTTGGCCGGCTTGAAGGGTTTGGGATTTTCAATGGTGGGCAGGACGTTGAATGGAGTAAACCTCAGAGAAGAAGCTGAGAAAAGTTCAAACAGAGGATTATTTTCAGCTTAACTTGGACACAGCAAAATGCCACTTTCTAAAAAGAGCTAAAAGATACTAACAGATAAGAAACTACAAATCAATCAACTAGCTTAATTTAGACTTTTTTTTTTTTACTAGCTTCCTAAATACCTCTTCTGAATAATTTCGAATCTACTGCTGGTTGATTTCCCCCTGCAAGAAGCACAAAAAACAAAAATAGGTATTTCTATAAGGTGATGACGTTCAGTGTGGCAAAGCTTCCTCTTGCTGCAAATCATGTGTTGAGGATGATCAGGAAGAGGATTATGAATTTGGTGCATACCCCTGGCATCATGACAGACAGACAGCCGTGCCAAACCCCACTCACCACATCAACATTTGGCTCCACCTGACGTGACATGTTGATTCAGGGTGAGTAATGTTTTATTATTTCCCCCATATCTAACCTAGACAATGTTTTTCCTTTAAAAAAAAAAAAAGTTCTTTCACTAAACCAGTCAGCTTGGCTGAATTTAACTTTCGAGAGCAGCGTGACTCAGCGGCACAGATTAGCTGCCTTCTCTGCACTTTTTTTTGATTTTAAATCTAAAACTGGATTTTAATTAAATGTGAAGGCATTTAATAAGTCTCCACATTCGAGAAATGTTTCTCGAATGAGGAGCGTCAGTGTCAATGTCATATGAACGAGGCCGAGAGAGAGAAGACGCTGCTGCACTGCGTGACCTTTGTGAAAGATCATTACTTATTGCATGTTGTAATGATGGAATGAATGTTCAGAGAGTGGCAGCTAAATAAATCTGCTACTTTTAATGAGGAAACAAAATTAAGCCAAGAGTTGGATATGGTTGGTATGGTTGGTATTAGAATATGTACAGATTTAAACTGCAGAACAGCTCAGGTGTCTGGTCAAGCTAACAGATGTATGCCTTAATCTTATGCTAAAGCATATCCACACTCCAATATACCACCTCAATTACATCATAATTACATTCTGCACACAAACTCCTTCCCTGCGTCCTGCTTACTCACACGCAGCCATCACACAGAAGGGGACGCCACAGTACTCCCAGGAGATGGCGTTGTCTTTTATTGTGTAACACCAAGGCTTCTTGTCCTCGTCTGGGTTTCTACACACAGAGATACACAACGGACAGAGTGTGTGCGTGCTCGTGTGCGTGTAGCCTCGCTGCTTCCTATCTTTATATATTGCTTCATTAGCTGAATGTCTCACAGGGCCTCCATTGCCATTCAAATCCACACACTCACACCCGGATAATTCGCTTTCTTTCTACATTCGTTTCACGTTTTAACAACCAGGATTCAGGTTTTAGTTTTAAAGCTGCAATATGCAATCTTACCAATAATTAATGATCTATCCGAGCCTGGGTGTAAGTCTAAGTCCCATTGTTTGCTTTGGCCTGGGACAATTTGAGAAACGTGCCATTTGCTGTCAGTATGTCTTCCTGCTCATGAGAAGTCATAGTAAGAAATCAGCTGACGGAAGAAGGCAGGAAGGAATGGACTAAGAGTAAATATGCCAGAGATAAGCCTTTTGGCATGATGGTTTCAGGGTTTCTCCTCAGTAGCTATGTGCTCGTAAGTCACACGAATGACAAGAGTTGACACATGGAGTTGACAGATAAGGAGCATACGGTTTTTGCTAGCTCAGGGTAAAAAAAAAGTTGGATACTGCAGCTTTCAAACAGAAATTATGTGCAAACTATATAGAAATGTGGCCTTCCAGATAAGACTGTTTGCAGCACAGCAACCGACAAAGGCTTTAATATCTCATTTTGATTAACTGTTGGAGAAACAACTACTAGAAAATCTACCATAGCTGCTATTAAGGCAGGATGATTTAGCACACACACCTGCAGTAGGCATGCTCCCCAAGGCCTTTAACAGGTGATGCAATCACTGTGCCCACATGGAGCTCATCAAACAGCAGGTCTGAGTTCCACGGCAGACACCGGGCGCCGGACACGGTGGTGCCCACCAGGCCTCTGTAACCTGTGCCCCTGCTGCTATAGCAATCTGTCTCTGGCTCTGCTCACACAAGCCACAGAGAGAGAGAGAGAGAGAGAGAGAGAGAGAGAGAGAGAGAGACAAATAATCCCAGCCGTAACCACAGTAAAACACAGGTATGTAAACAATATGAAAGCGATCACACAAACTCCCGATGCAGCAGATATGTGTGTGCGATGACAGCTCTCTTCCCTTCAGAATGAGTCAGAACACGTTTTAAAACCTCTCTCTGAACGCGTCAATGACAGCTGGGTACAAGCTCACCAGCACGCCCTCACCTGTGACCATTAATCAAACTATTGTCATCCACACATGCACGAGCATGCATCTGTGCATACGTGACACAATGAGGATTCCATACATCTGCTCTCGCATATGACAAAGACTCTGGCTCTATGCAGACTGCAGTGACTAGAAAATCTGCCCTCTGCTATTTTTAGCCCGATACAAACATCATTTCATGTGAACTGTGCTTTCTGCTCAGATTTCTGCAAATTTTGCATTTCCATTTGAATGAACAGGAACGTAGCACTCAGCGTATGACTCACCGAGACTACAGTGAGGTCCACTGTAGCCATGCCTGCAGTTACACACTTCCTTTCCGGTGGATACGATCAGTCGACACGTTCCGTCGTTCTGACATGGGTTTGTACGGCACACTGGACACATCAAGACACATCAAGACACACACTGTCACATCCTAATGCCATTCTCTTTAAAATGCTTGTTTTTCAGCAAAACTTTATTAACATTTAGCTTGTTTAACGGACCCATTATGATACTTCCATTATGATAGTCGCTATGCACAGTTTAAAAGAGCATTGGTGTGGCCCCTCAGTTTATTATTTATCTCCCTTGTGACTCAGTCACATTAGAATAAAAATACAGTGGCAACCTCCTTCCTGAGTGTTTGCAGTGAATTTGTTACACATATGACAAACAGTTGCAAGTAACTGTAGCAACCAACAGGTCAATTGAAGGTGATTGCTTAGCAGGTGGCAACCTGTCTCCAATCAATCGCAGTATGACTCAGACCATAATCGTTTCCAAATGATTGCTGTCTAATTTATAAATTCAGAAAGACTCTCAACATGTTGCAATCAATTTGAGTCAGTCTGTGTCAATGAGGCCAACTCGTCTACCGCGTGTATCTTTGCATTAGGTGACTAGACTCAACTGGTTGCCAGGTTGTTGTATTCTGATTATATTTCTGTAAAATAAAAAGGTTGTCGAGCACCTAGGTCATTTTGTTGGGAAATTGCAACTATTAAAATTGCCATTCCTACATTACTATCTTTGGAGGAATTTCTGTTTCAAATCTATGAGATTCCGAATTCTGAATGTAAGCAGTTAATGTAGAGTCCTGAAGTAGAATTCCTATAGATGCCAACAAAATTGTAGCAAATGGCCAGACATTTGCAATTTTTACACTTTGGAACAACCGGTTGGAACTAAACCAAGGAAACCACCAGTTGCTAAGGTAAAAAGTGTATTGCCTGACTGACCTGTTGCTTGCTGTTGATGCATTAAAACTTCCTTGTGATTCTTTTTGGACACTAGCAATTTGCTGTAGTCACAAGTAATTTGTGTGGTAGCCACAGACTCATCTGCAAACACTCACCGGCTAGTTGCAAAGTGTTAGAGAACATAAGTTGTACAACTTTTACTTTGAAGACGTGTGCGACTGGGGTGTTAAGGGAACTTTATGCTGATTGGCTGCCCCTCATAACGAGAAAGCTTAAACAGCACTTAGGTGGTTGCTGCTGTTCTGTGTATGAGGTATGAATTATATATGTATATAATATAAATCGTATTATGTATTATGTATGTATGCGTTTTATATATGTACTATATGTATTAAATCATGCATGGCCACGTCTGAAAAGAAAAACTGTGTAAAACTGAGCATTTAGAGCAGTATGAAGCCTGAGCTTTTGGCTCACAGGGATTAGTCTGACATACACTGACCTCGCTATTTAAAACTTCTGTATTGTGGCATCAATCATTGGAAATCACTGTAATAGTACATTTATTCAGCAATAATTAGCATTGCTACACCATCATGGTTTTTCTTACGCAGGTTTTAAATGTAATTATCAATAAATCTTAGATTACCAAAAGAAAACTGCAAAAGAAACCTCTGAGTATTTTAACCTGACTCTACAGTTCCGCTCAGGTGGACTTACTAACATCTCCCGGTCTCATTTTTTTGGTTTTGGTTCGCTCTCACCCATGCATCTGTGTTCTTATGTACATGTAATATATCTGGGTCTGAGCAGCCTCTTGTGAAATAATATAACATACAGAAAATTTGCTGGGGATCAGAGATGCCATGAGTTTATTGGGTTTTACTGAAAGTGAGCGGTCCTGATGTGCTTTGAAGAAAAACAATGTAAAGCACATTAAGGGTCAGGTTCAAGCTAGAAAACTTTTTTTTTTTTTTAGTTCTGCGACTCCTGTAAGCTGAGCCCCTATCATCATGACAAAAGCAGTTTCAGCTGAAGAAGCATGAAAATACCTCTCTGATTGTATCTCCTTTATGCCAGGGGAATCTGCTAAACGCCCGTGAACATCCCCCCCATTGAGATGAAAGCACCCTATGGACCCATGGGGTGTGTCCTAAAACACCATTCCTGAGTCACAGTGAGTCATATAATCTGCCTTTTCTTCAATGCAAAGTTACTCTTGTAACTATGGAGCTGTGATCAAAGAAAGGGTAGGGCACGTCTTTCAAACCCCCTCTTATGAGAGTGAAAAAAAAACATTTCTTCAGGCTAGGAAGAGATCTGATACTTTTTGGGAGGCCTGAGATCAAGTTGTATAATACTTTTTTAAATTATATGAGTTGCTAAGGTTGCTAGGTTTTTATCTTTATGTTTATTTAATGTAAAAACAAACAAACCCCAAAACATTCCAACATGTAGCAATATTTCGTTTGTCATTCGCTGATTTGAACATCAATTCAAGCAGCTGTCAAAGCAAATAGCGCTGAAGTCATTGCAGCCTATTGTATTGAGTTTTGCTCTCATCACCCCAACATTAGCAAAAAATGGCCAAGAAAAAGAAAACTGGACACATTCAGAGCAGAACAACAAAAGCAGAAAGCATGTCTTACTCGTGTAGTGGACTCTCTCACACTTAATTTCCCCTGCCACACATGTGCACTGTTCCACGTTACGGAGGTGAATTCGTCCCCAAGACTCTCCGATGTCATAATAGCGCAGGTGTACGGTTTCGTAGCACTTCTCTGAAAAAGCCGACACAACACATGAAAGGCGTCGGGGCTGAAATGGGAGAGCAGATTGAAGAGCTCAATGGAGCGTACGGAGCGAATCTCCGATGGCTGAGCTGCTGCGATGGATCCATTTTTCTGTGTTTTTCCATCTTCTTTCACTGCTTTGCTTTCAGCTGAAAAGTGAAACCTGTTTACAGGTGACTCATAACTGATTTGCCATTATTTTGGCCTGAAGGCAATCACGCAAAATTTCAGCAGCATTTTAACGGAAAACACAGATTAAATGAAACTGGCATGTCATTTCAATGTTATACACGTCATGTTATTTTGAAGCGTATGCCGCATTTATAGGGCCGTGGCGAACGTAAGACTGTCACTCAAATCTTTCAATCACATCTCAGTGTCTATATCAGCAAATAGAGATTGCTCAGTTGTCATCTTGATAGCATCAGGTCACGTCTGTCAGTGGCGTGTAAGGATATAGCTGAATGCAGCTAAACCAATTTAAAGTCAATTAAACAAACTACATTTGCTGCTAAAAAAGAGAGAAATCACTGTGTCACTGCTGGTCTGTAACCAGTTCCGCCTTAATTCCTGCCCAGATAAGTTTGGGAACCAATAATTACAAAAATTGATAATCACAGCTGCCAGTCATTGGAGAATTTATTGCGTCAGACATCAGTGATTCCACCTTTGGGCACGGCAACTTTGTGGTGCTTTGCTAATGGCAGCTTTTTGGCATCGGCCACAATCTTTTTTTATTGTAAATGTGTAAATCTCTGGAACTAACAGATGGGGTGGTGCTACTGGCAGCGGCAGAACAGGGTTACATGAGGTGGGGTTGAAAGCCAAGGAGAACTGGTACACAGGCTCTTAAATACTGTGATAATCAAGAGTGAACTTAGACTGTTATGCTTTTGTTTGTCATCACGGTTTGTTTCCTTTTTTTATCAACCTTTATTTATGCAGGAAATTAAGATCAAAAGTCTCTTTTGCGAGTGTATTTTGGGACCATAAGGGCAGCCTTATAACCTAGCATGTTCTTTGACTCCCATAGAAAACCTTGTGCAAGCACAGCGAGTCCAGATTATAATGTAAATTTTCTATCTATGAAAAATCTCCAAATTTAGTTGTTAACAAAAGGTAAGCTCACAAAGAACAGCGTTGGGCCCTGTGGATGAAAGTATCCTTATTCTTGTCACCAGTGAAATTTTAAAACCTCCAACAATTACTGACAGCAATTTTCCTCCTAATCAAAGCTGTAAATCAGTGTAAATAACAGCACTTACCAGTGAGCCAGTAAACTACAACGTTATTGAATGTAGCAGATGTAACAGAAATGAAGCACGTCAAATGCCACACCAATTTAGTCATTGTATGATGAGTGGCCTCTTTGCATAATGACCCACAATCTGCAACCTTTCTGAAAAGTCAACAGTTGAGCATTTTTAACAAATATAGCCTCTCTATGTGGCTCACTGGTCTCCAGAGAAGAAGGAGTTAACTCTTCACACTCAACTGCCTTTACTAAACATGAATTTGATTACAGAGTTTTTAGCTGGCAAGCTTTTGATTTTGGTTTACATCTGTGGACAACAGATGAATGAGAAAGGGCTGCCTAACGTGCACTTTGATGTGAATATGTTCAGGGAACAGTCAAAAAAAGACAGTCTGACAAAACCAAATATGAATGGATGACAAGCACTATGCCTTTAATTCATAGAATATTAATAAAGGTGCCTACTTTGTTCACATATTCTCCCAGAGAAGCTCTCAGGGCAGGAGCATTCGAATGTGCGTCTGTGTGGGATCGCTGTGCAGACGCCTCCATTCTGACACGGGTTCGCCTGACACGGATCTGTGATTCTGCGTGAAGTGTGGACAAAAACTGAAATCAAAACATCAAAACATAATCAGCAGGAGAACAACCGCAACACTGTAGCTTCTAATTAAACAGCAGTGGAAATTCAATCTGCAGCTGGTTTGGTGAGCTAACCATTTGGGTGGCTTCTCTCTGGTGTGCAGAAACCCCACTTCCTGTCCCGATCAAAATTGTGTGTAAGAGAGCACCTGGGACAAAGGAAACAGGAAGAGAGTTACCTGCAAGTCAGCAAATGCAGTAAATATGCCAAAAACAGAGTCTGAACAATTCTAACAAGCTTGAAAGTTAATATTTGGTATGATCACCTTTAGTCTTCAACATAACCTGAACTCTCTTAAGCAAGTTTCTGTAATTTCTTTAAGTATGGTTCGATGTTTTTGTTCTGAATTTGTATAAAGGAGTATACAGGACCACTCTTATTCTGAATTATTTTCATGTAAAAATAAATAAATAGATAATAAATAAATAAATCATCAAACGTCTCTGACTTTTTCACAAATCGCACCCTGATTACAACCTTAGTAAGCATCCTGACTAAGCGTGTAAGTTAGCTGACGGTTAGTCATGCTATACTGTTGGATTTGGGCATATAGATATTGTGACATAAAATTGCGTAAACCATGTGCAGAGGATTTTACCCAACCCTTAATCAAACCCACAAGTACTGACACCCTGCTCCAGAACGCTGCATCTTCTGCCAACACACACTAACTAACTCTGTCAATCATCCACTAATCTAACCTGCGTAACATTAACATACCTCTTCTCCACTCACTGTAACTACAACACTCAATGACAAACCCATTCTGACGGTGAGCTGATGAGCACATCACAAAAACATGCAGGGTCAAACCGCCGCAACTTTACATGTAGGTGGACCAGAAAATATTGGCCCATGTATAATTGCATAAACGTTGCTCCAGCTTGCTGACATCCACCCTTTCTGCATCATTTCCAAGTAGTGAAGACTGAAACCCTGCCAGCGTGTCTCCTGTTGTTTTGTTTTTTTTCCAAAATCATAAGATGATTGTTGCTGTGTCACAATCTGAAGCGATTAAATAAAAAGAACAAATTGCACCATGATGGTTTTACTGAGACAGCTGTTTATGCACCCTCGGGATAAACGCTGTGAAACGGCAAAACTTAAGCTATAGTTGCAGTTTCACAGAGTACCTCTGCATTTTATCTTCACAGTTAATAATGATAACACTGTATTATGATAAAATCATCACAGGCCCCAGCAGCAATTGAGCAATAAGCATTTTATTAAAGCCTTTTCGCTCATTACCTCATTAAAATTTGTGATCAGATGGCACTGTCGCATAAATCCCTCATCCCCGCGAGCTGTAATCAGGTGTGACTACACACCCCAAAGACACTGCATCAGTGTACAAATCACTACTATTACAGCAGTGATGGAAAAAACCAGTGTGTTTGTTCTTTTAAGGGCATGCAAAAAGCCAGGAACTATCCACCAATTAGAAATAAGAACACTAACTCTACATTTCTCCCTTGAGAAGAAAGCTGCACTTTGTATCTTCCAACCCCACAAAGGTTGACTGTTTCCGGTGCTTTCTTTTAAAGTTATAGAATTTAAAAGTCTGATATAAATATATTGGCTTTTATTTTTTACACAGACATATTCCAGTAATACTGTAATCCACTGCAAGACAGTCATCTATGACACCGTATCTGTGTGACTTAACAAGAAGAACTATACTTAAAGAAGTAAAGAGTTTGTTTGTCAGCTCACTTAAGCTCATTTTAAGCTCTTCAGTTGATAACTGCCACCACAAAGACTGAAGTAGTGTCTGGTATAATGAATACATATACTGATGTCTGAAACCAGTACATCAATAAATGTACTACAAGAAAGCGGTATACGATATATGAAAATATCGATATTTTGCCCGACCTCACATGGTAGCAGCTCAATGCATTTAGACATGTAGACAAGATCAAGACAACCTGCTGAAGTTCAAACCGAGCATCGGGAGAAGGTGATTTAAGTGACTTTGAATGTGGCATGGTATTGATGCCAGACCAGCTGGCTCGAGTATTTCAGAAACTGCTGATCTTCTGGGAATATCCCAGCACAACAATCTCTGGGGATTACAAAGACTGGCCTAAAAAACAGAAAATATCCACTGAGTGGCAGTTCTCTGTGTGAAAATGTGTTGTTGATAACAGAGATCAGAGGAGAACGGCCAGACTGCTTTGAACGCATAACACGTCAAACCTTGAAGCAGATGGAAAACAACAACAGAAAAAAAACACATGATCCTGTCAGCTAAAAGCAGGAAACTTGGGCTACAATTCACAAACGCCTGCCAACAGAAGATAAATGCTGTCTGGTCTGATGAGTAGGCTCAGAATTTGGTGTAGAAAACATGAATGCATGAATCTGTGCCTCGAGTCCATGATTCAGGCTGATGGTGGTGGCGGTGTAATGTTGTGACCGGATATTTTCTTTGGGTCCTTTAGTACTAAATGAGCATCATTTAAGCACCGCGGAGATTTGCATCATGCATGTGTAGCTAACTGTCTGACCTGTGTGTATACAGTAAGTTTAAGATTGAAAAGGGAAGATTATGGCTCATTGTTTCTTAACTATCAAGCAATCAAAACACACAGCCTGACTCCGCTCCATCAGTCACGATGCTCTTCTGCTACATGTGCCTTGACGTGCTAAGGGTACTGTCAAGTCAAGGCTAGATGCTTTTATTTAATTAGCACATTTAAAAGCAGCGGGAGCTGCTTTCAAGTCGCTGTGGTAGATTAAAATATACAGTGACAACACTAAGTGGGAAGTGACAAAGGCAATGATAAACACGCATCATCAAGACAGCAAAAAAATAAAAGATGTATTAAGAAAATAAGTTCAATACAAACTATGCAATCAAATAATCTGTAAATTATCCAATGATTTTTTTTT